TAAGAGTAACCAGCACGCATATGCAAGACGCCGACCGTAGTGCTGCTGCGGTGGAATCGCAAAATGGTACTTACATAAAAAACATGCCTTGTATTTAAAATAATTGATAACTTGACATAGGTTAGGTTATCAATTTGGGTTCATCTATTACCCAAATCTTGAAGTCAGTAGCTCAGAAGTTGAGCTCTGATGGAAATAATAATTTCCTGAGTAGAACTGAATACATATATGAAAGAATTTACCATATTTCTCAAAACATCAGACCTAGAGGAGAAACAAAAAACACAAACATGACCATTTTCAAAAATAATAAAGTGGTAAATACAAATAAAAATCCAAGCTTTTCCTTGGTACTTGGTGGTGAAATTTGGATGAGTTTAAGAATTTTCTGGCAGCAGAGAGAAGTAGATAGGACCATCAGTACAAGCCTCTCTCAAAGAAAAACTATAAATAATTTTATGAATAGTTATCACATGGACAAGTAAAAATGATGCACTCTTGGGAAATATCATATCCATCAACAGAACTTCTGTTTTGCAAATCAACCTTCTATCTTCGTATGAAATAACACCATTATTTCTTCTTTTTTATCAATCTTGGAATGTAGTTGTCCTTGAAAAATTTATTTTGCATGATGGCCTTAAGGGAATCAAAAAAAGTGGAAAAATTGTCTCTTTTGGCTTTTCCTGTTTTTATGCTCCTCTTAGAGCTGCAATTCTGACCTATCCAACGGTACCAAAACCATCTCGGTAAGTTGATTTATTCGTTCACGACAGATCGCGAAAGAGTTACGTTCCATTGAGTCTTCAACAAATAGCTACCAGGAAATCTGGCCTGAGCTCAGTTATCCTCGAGCTATCATGCAGGAAGGTTGTCAGGCAGTCATTATCTGCATTGCTGATTGACTTCCAACTCATATAACGCCTTGCTTAAGTATCCTTGCTACCATAAATGCCTATATATAGCGCGCTGCAACCTGTTGGGGGCTTTTCTGCGCTCTAGCAGCTCTACTGAAAACCTCCAACTGCTCTCACTGCTAACCTATCTCCTCCTAGAGTTTTTAAGCTACAGCAATAAGAGATATACAATTCGATTTGCAGAGAAAAGATCTAGAGATTGGTTGATGCGTTTTTGTAATTTTGTTATAGTTTTGTTCTATTTTGAAGAAAGGGGGGGTTGAAAATCAAGAAAATTTTTAAATATTCACGAAAAATGCCCCTTCACCCACAAAAATTAGAATTTCAAAAAATGCAAAGGCCAACTGATAGATATGGTTTTTACACATTGAATGATGTGTCTCGATGTTCTAGCTCGAAAATCCTAGGAGATAGGTTTCTTTCTACAGTACCATCATACGGGATAATGAGAGACGGTTTTGAGCGTTTTTCCTTAATAACTTCTTACCATGAAACATTTCATAAACAAGTTTGAGCTCATTTTAAAAGTCTTTGCAAGGGCTATATATGGCACCTCTGAAAAAATTCCATATGCTATTCATAAGATGCCAGACGCAAAATAAAATCCTCCTGAACTAACCCTAGAAACGGGGTTATGAGGAACATTTGAAATAAAACTCAATTTTAATTGTTTGCAACGTGCAGAGTGTGCTCATCAATTACTAACAGTACTCTGAAGTCCTCCTCTTCCTTTGTAGATGATGCAAATGTAGAATAAATGACAAATTTCTGCAATTTTTGCATGTTTTTCCTTTATTGACATGATATTAACTTATCCATACATTCCCATATTATTGATGTGATATTACCTAATCCATGGACATGCCATTGAGCATCAATAACAACCTTGTCCACTGCAAGCTTCATTCATATCAGTACCCATGTAGCATTTCTTCTCTAGGTAGGCTTGCAGGATGGCTTATAATTTTGCCCCATTTTAATCAAGTCTAAGTGAATTCACTAGTATAACAAAAAAAAAAATTGTAAAAAACCTAAAAACCTACCTGAAACACATAGGAATATTTTAGTGACAACCATCATATTTTTTGGGAAAAAGTCATAATTCAGGTTAATTACCTACTTTTCATTCCATGCTGCCTGGTGAACAATTCTATCTATGACATTCTATTCACAGTTTGGCAAAGATTGATGAAGCACAAATTTTTTATCATGCGAAATTTTTTTACTGCGAGAAGTAAATCTTATCAAAATTTTTTGTTGTTAATTGATTTTTTTTGTTAACTGAAGCCTTTGCTAACCAAGGCTCTACTGTTAATGCATTTTTATGGGTGTCACTTATTACCCCGGGGGAGGTCCCTTATTACCCCGGCATGCAGAAATGAATGAAATTTTTTCTGGAATGAGATATGCTAAATCCGTCAAACACATTTTAAGCAAACACCTGTGTGCAACTTTTATGTAAGTAACATTTTTTTAATACAGTAAATATTGTTTTATGCTACAGACCTTAAGGGGAGCGTCTGGGTCAGAAATCAACAATTTTGGCTTTCCAGTTTTTAGTCTCATCTCAAAGCTGACATTCTGACCTATCCAATGGTACCAAAACCATCTCTGTATGTTGATTTATGCGTTCACGACAGATCGCGAAAGGACAAGGGTAGGTGGAGTTCTTCAACATTTAATATAGGGAGTATATGCCTCAGTGCACCTTGAATAGCTAGTCTTCACACTCTCTGCTCCACTAACCCTTCAGCAGTTGTGAGGGATGGTTCTTGCTGTCGTTCCCCCACCTCTGACAGAGATTAGCTCCAGTATTGTCTGGTCTTGCATCCTTGCAACCTTGAGTGCCGAATTTGAGGTACCCGGGACTTTGTCGGGCTCTACTGAACAGTCACACTTATTGTCACCAAAAAACTACGGTATCTCCTCCTACAGTTTTGAAGCTACAGCAATGAGAGATATACCATTAGATTCACAAATAAAAGATTTAGAGATTGGTCATTCACTTTTTGGAATTATGATATAGTTTTTATTCTATTTAGAAAAAAGGAGGGTGGCGGGAGGTGGAAATCATGAAATTTTAAAAAATTTACAAAAAATGCTCCCATACCAACAAAAATTTGAATTTCGAAAAAATGAATGACCAACCGATAGATATAGTCTGTACGCATCAAATGATCTGTGTCTCAATGCTGTAGCTTAAAAATTCTAAGAGGAGATAGTTTTCTACAGTACTCCCTTTTTAGCCGTTTTTCAAGTTTCATGTTTTCTTTAATTTTTTCAAAAAAATTTATATAACAAAAAAAGTCTTAGATTTATGTTTTACATGTGTTCCAAGTTTCAGAGTGATCCGTCAATAAATAAAAAAGTTTTACTGGGACCCAGACGCTCTCCTTAACAGAGGTACTTTTCCAAACTCTCACTTTTTTCCAAGGATTTTTTAGAGGCTGTAAATGTATGATTTCTTAACTTGCTTTATGCTTCATAGATAGGAAAAATGTTGAACTTTTTGCCACTATTTTTGTTTTGAAATATTTTAATTAATTTAGCTGCTACAACATTTCTACAAAATGCCAGAGGACTGTCCCTCATTACCCTGCCTGTCAACTATTACCCCGTTTGACGTTTCCTCCTTTTTTGGCTGTTTTCAAAGAATTTCATGTTTTCTTTTCAAAAAATTGACATGAGCAAATAAGTTTCATATTTCTGTTTTACACATGTGAACCAAGTTTCAAAGTGATCCATCTGTAAATAACCAAAATAAAATTTCCACACTATGCATACCTTAAAAAGGTTATCTGATAATCAAATTATATGTTTCAGCTTTGACTCTTCAGCTTTGGGAGGCTGCATTGAGAAACAATGGCCCCAGTCTTGCTGATAATATTTGCTAACTGCGTACTGACTGTTCTTTATTGACCAAAGTTTATCCTGCATCATTAATTTACATTTTTGATGTAAGGTAATCAAGAAAGGCTTGTTCTATGGGGGCACCTTCTTGTTTCTGCTACAGCAATCTCAAGGGAGTTTCAACAGTATTGTCAAATGGGGTAACAATGGACAACTTTTTTGTTTTTGTTTTAATAACTTCTTACCAAGAAATCTTTCACAAACATGTTTGAGCTCATTTTGAGGGTCTTAGCAAGGGCCATTATATGGCATCGCTGAAAAAATTTCATCTGCTTTTTTTAAGGTACAAGAAGCAAAAAAAAATTTCCTAAAATACCCCTGAGAATGGAGTTATATGGGACACCAGAAATAAAACTTAATTTCAAAACATTTGAAGCATGCGGAGTGTACCCATCCATTACTAACAGTACTCTGAAGTTCTCCTCTTCATTTGTACATGATGTAGATGCAGAATAAATAACGTTTTCTGTTGTTGCCGGGGCTATGGAATGCTTATGTCAGGTTCTTTAGTCTCTGGCAACAATTTAGGTGAATGAAAGTTTTCTTCTGGATATGGATGTATTGTGAAAGTACGGGGCAGTGATTACAGATGCAGTTGCGAATGGAATAAAATGTAACCAGACATTGGGAGCATGAGTGAGGTATTTGAGCTGCAAAAGATAAAACACATAATCAATAAAAGTAAAATCGAATAAAAGAACCTCACTCACAGCAGTTAATCAAAACCAAAAACTCTTAGAATTGACATAACAATCAAGCAGCAAGCGGTAGTTTCAGCTCAGAATATAACTGATAAGATCAACACACGAGAGTAATTCAAGAGATTAAAGTAAACCAAGGTAAATGGACACTATTGCAACTGTGGTAATAACTGCGACTTATTGGGTGAAACACATAAATGGACAACAGTTTGGTATTCACTAATAAAAATAGCAAGCATTGAAATTAAAGGATTTAAACAGTAAAGTCATTGAAGTGAAATCATATAAACAACTCGCTATTGTGCAATTTATGTTCTTGAGATTAAAAGCAAGCATTGAAAGAAAGTGGATAAATGTATGTGCAAACTATAAACATCAGCAAGAATGAAGTAAATCAATTATTAAGCTCAATGAACAATAACATACCTGGTTTTAAAAGCTTTATACAATATAGATTCCAACAAGCACTCACCAAGGCAATTGCAGTCGTCAGAGCATTGGACATCAATCTGCCTGCTTCTATTAGAACTTTACAATGTCACTGATCAAGCACATGCATGCATAATATAATTATTGGAATTTTTCCCATGCCTGAAAAAATAAAGAGAAATGTTTTGTATTGAAATAGAACATATACATTGAGTGAACAAATGAACAACAGATTTTGTTTGCAATAAAAAATACTGAAATAACCACCCGGCTACACTGTGATATGTGTTTGTTTTTTCTATACTGATGATATTATCGTATCTATTTCTCATTAACAAATTCTATTTTTAGCACATTTTCTCATTTATGGAATAAAGGTGCTATTGTGCTCGACATGTCTTTCCGTCTGTCTGTCAGTGACTTCATAGATGGACGAGAAAATGTGCTCTCTCACCCACTGCAGTGACTACTGATCTAATATTTTCCATTGTATACCTTACAGTTTTAAAACCCTCCAAAAAAGCTTCCATGCCATTGACAGCATTTTTGTACACTGCAAGCCTCATAGCAGCAGCTGTATAGCATTTCCTTGTAATTTTGCACCTATACAATTGAGTCAAGTGATCTAATTCACCATAACAAATGAAGGTCAAAACAAACATACCTGAAACAGAAAGGAATATTTTAGTGATAACCATCATATTTTTTGGGAGAAATAAATCAGAGTTTAGGTTAATTACTTTTCATTCTATGTTTCCCAGTGCACAGTTCTCTCTTTGACATTCTATGCGCAATTTTGTGATGACTTATGATACATTAATTTTACATTAAGTGCAATTTTTTGCTGAGTAGTCAATTTAATCCAAATTCTTTGTAATTAACAATTTTTTTGTTTACCGGAGCATCTGCTAACCAAGGTTCTGCTGTAAATGTATTTTTAGGGGTGTTCCTTATTACCCTAGAGGAAGTGTCCTAATACCTTGTCTTGTGTAACAGGCTGCAATTTTGTTTTAGATTAAGGTAGACAAATTCTGTCAATAAAGTTTCAAAGCCAATGCCTGTCAGCAAACCTCTTTCTAGCAAATTTTTTACTACGGACCTTAGCTGAAGTACTTTTCCGAAATATCATTTACATCGAATTAAAATTATTTGAAATAAAACTAGTAGTAGTAGCTAGTAGATTTATGATTTCTCAACTTTCTCAAAGCTACATGGATGGGAAAATGTTGAAGTTTACACCACTATTTTTAGTTTTGCGATATTTCAGTTTTGTTGCTATGACATTTTTATGCCATGATGAAGGACTGTCCCAATTTACCCCGCATGTCTCTTATTACTCCATTTGATAGTAGCAAGCAAAATGACTGTTAAACTCAATAATATTTACAATAATCAGATGGTTCTTTCAACCTGATCATGTTTTTCTTTCAGTCTTACATTTCTGCCTGATATTTCAAGTACCGACAAATGGGGTAAAAGGGTTTGGGCTCATTTTACAGGTCTTTGCAAGGGCAATCATATGGCATTTCCAAAAAATTCCATATGCTATTTGTAAGGAACTAGACGCAATATAAAAGGCTCCTGAATTAATCTAGAAATGGGGTAAAAAGGGACACCTAAAATAAAACTCAATTTTAATTATTTGAAGCATGCAGAGTGTACTCATCTATTACTAACAGTAATCTGAAGTCCTCCTCTTTCTTTGTAGATGATGTAGATGTAGAATAAATGAAATTTTCTGTGATTTTTACTTGGTTTTTCTTCATTGAAATAATATTACCTTATCCATACATTACCATATTATTAATGTGATATTACTGTATCCATGGACATGCCATTGAGCATTGACAATGACAATGAGCTTCGTATCAGCAGCCATAGAGCATTTCTTCTGTATCTGCAAGCTTACAGGATGATTTGTAATTTTGCACAATTTTAATCAAGTCAAGTGATTTCACTATAACAGATAAGATTGTAAAAAACATACCTGAAACAGGAAGGAGTATTTTAGTGACAACCATCATGTTTTTTGGAGAAGTAAATCATAGTTTAGGTTAATTACTTTTCATTCTTGTTGCCCAGTGCTCAATTCTGTGACATTCTATGCACAATTTTGTGATGAAAGATGCAGTAATTTTTTATTAAGTGAAATTTTTTACTGAGCGAGGTAAATGTAATAAAAATTCTTTGTTGTTAATTGATTTTTTCATTAACTGGAGCCTTTGCTAACCAAGGTTCTACTGTAAATGCAATTTTAGGGGTGTCCCTTATGACCCCCGGGGGGGTGTCCCTTATTACCCCGTTTTGCGGAAATGGCAACAATTTTTTCTTGGAATGAGACATGCAAATTCTGTCAATCGCGTTTTCAAGCCAACACTAGTGTGCAACTTTTATGCAAGTAAAACTTTTCAATACGACAAATATTTTTTCTGCTACAGACCTTAGCAGAGGTACTTTTCCAAAATCTCACTTTTCACACTTTTTTCAGGGATTTTTTAAAGGTAATAAATGTATGATTTCTCAACTTGCTTTATGCTGCATAGATAGTAAAAATGTTGAACTTTACAACACTATTTTTAGTTTTGCAATATTTTAATTAGTTTAGCTGCTACAACATTTTTACAAAATGTTGGTGGACTGTCCCTTTTTACCCTGCCCATCCCTTTTTAACATGTTTGACAGTAGTAACTTGTAATTGTCAAATTTTCTGTAAGCATTTTCACTCAAGGAATTAATGCAGTTTCATTCTGAGGTTCTGACATCAGGATTTGATAATTGATTGATGAACTGTAATTGGCTAGGACTGTTATTTCAATGTTTGTGCTCAAACCATTGATATTTTAAATACCTTGGCATGTTGTAACCTTCTCTCAATAATGCTGTAAGGTTCAACCAACAACAATCTTATAAGATCATAACCTATTATCCTCCTGTATGAGCAAAAAAATGTTATTTTTTTTGTTTCAATAGCATAATTAAATAAGAATATCTCTATCTGAAATAAAGTAATTTTTGACAGGTCATGAATGAAAAATAGATTAAATGCATTCAAATGTGCTAAATATAATTTTAAAGTTAATAATAGAGTCAAGTAAAACAACCATCAGGCCTATAGTGACATCTGCAACAGAAAAATCCTTCAGTGAATTTAGAATCGTGCATGAGCAGAGAATCATGCCTTAGTTAACTTGCAAATGAGGCTAAAAGAACCAAATAGCATCAATTGATTTGTGCCATATTTTATTTATTGATGTATAATAGATTGTTGAATATTTACACAGCAGTATCAGCTCAATAATCAATCTTAGCTTTTCGAAATTCAACATTAACATCAAAAATAAACAAAAATTCATGTTTTTTGCAATTGACAGCGGCTTTGCTCTACCTATTGCTATTAATTGTTTACTTGGGAAATCCTTTGAAGGGGATGCATTTGGCAGGCGTCCACATGAAAAAAACATTGTCAGATATCAAATTAAAAAAAATTGTTTTTCAATCAACCCTAATGCATACACCTCAATCCAAAAGGCCTTGTCTGCCTGGTCCAATATCCCAAGACACTATTTTTGTTATAAATTTAGAAATGTGGAAAAATTACCAGCATAGAGATGGAGATCAGAGTAGCCATGACCTATGCTTAAATCCAACTACCTAGTAATTTTCAAGTTCATATTATTTAAAACTAATAAATTAAAATTAGCTAACACTCATAAATAAAAAATAAACTGACAAAAGATAATACCATCCAACAGGGTAATAATGAATGGGCAAGGTAATTCAGGACAGTCCTCCAGCATGGCATTAAAATGTTGTAGCAGCAAAACTAATTGAAATATTGCAGAACTAAAATAGTGGCTTAAACTTCAACATTTTTACTATCTATGTAGCATAGAGGAAGTTAACAAACTATATATTTACTAGTTCTAAAAAAATCCCTGAAAAACATGTTGAAAAGTGACATTTTGCTTACAGATACAGAAGAAATGCTATACAGCTGCTGATATAAAGCTTTTAGTGGACAAGGTTGTAGTCAATGCTCAATGGCATGTCCATGAATATGGTAATACCATCAAATGGGGTAAAGAGGGACAGGCAGGGTAAATCCGGACGCACATCCACATTTTTGTAGAAATGCTGTATCAGCTAAACTAATCAAAATATTACAAAACTAAAAATAGTGGCGTAAACTTCAACATTTTTACTATCTATTATGTATGAAGCTAGTCCAGAAATCAAACATTTACTATCTCTAAAAAATCGCCAAGAAAAAGGAAAAAGTGTGAAAAGTGTGATTTTGGAAAAGTACTTCTACTAAGGTCTTGAGCAGAGCAAAAATAAATATTCGCCATATTAAAAAAGTTACTTACATAAAAGTTGCACACAGGTGTCAGCTTGAAAGCGCGATTGAAGGAATTTGCCTATCTAATTCCAAAAAAATGGCAGCCATTTCCGCGCGACGGGGTAATAAGGGACACCCCCTCGGGGTAATTAGAGACAACCCCCGGGGTAATTAAGGGGAGCGTCTGGGTAAAAAACTAACTTTTTCATTTACGGACGGATTTCTTTGAAACTTGGTACACATATGTAAAAAAAAATCTAAGACTTTTTTGTTCGTGTCACTTTTCCAAAAAAATTGATAGAAAACGTGAAATTCATAGAAAACGGCAAAAAAGGGGGTCCTCAAGAAATCTATCTCCTCCTAGGATTTTCAAGCTACAACATTGAAAGACATATCATTCGATGCGTAAAGACCATATCTATAAAATTGCGTATACGTTTTTCGAAATTCTAATTTTTGTGGATGTGGGGTCATTTTTCGTAAAATTTTTTATTTTTCCCTCCTTCCCAACCCCATTTTGCCAAATATTTCTCAAACTATAACGAAATAACAAAAATCCATACGCAATTCTGTAGATCTCTCCTTTGCAAATCGAATGGTATATGTATCATTGTTGTAGCTTCAAAACTCTAGGAGGAGATAGGTTTTCCGTGACAATAAGTGTGAATGTTGAGGAGAGCGCGACAAAGTCCCGAGCGCACCACAATATGCGCTCAATGTAGCATAGATTCCAAACTAAACGTTTCTGGAGCTTGATTCTACTCAAGGATGATGGGAGCAACTACATGCGCATCTCTCCCTACAAAGCCCGGAGGCACACTGAGTCAGACCTCACAAAAACACTATATTTGTAGTGGTGGACAGCGAATTATCTCATATCTAATTACTGAAAGAA